GCTTACCCATTCACTTGTCTTCCTCCTCAAGCTACGCGACACTTACACTTTCCTCCACACATTCTCCCATTCTAACCCTAACCCTAACCCTTGCTACGGATGCATGTAAAATGGTCGACTCCCTCTACCGCTCTGCTATCCTCTACGTGTACATGAGCCAGATCAGGCTAAAAATGGAAGACTGTATCTGTTTATATCTCTGAGATGAGGTATTACGTACACAATTTACATTGTTCGGACTATCATCCTCATCTTTGTTGCCACAACGTTTCGGTCGTTGTGCGCTCCGGCCTTCTTCAGGTTGTTGTAATGTCGAACTGAACCCTTTATTTCGCTCGCTGTGGTAGACTGTTCTAGTTCCACGTGGCATGTCTAATGGATGTCCGTTATCAGTTAATTCCCCACTCCAAGTCCTCCACCGCCTTAACCAGGTATTGAACTCACACTCTTTGGGTCCTGTCACTGTTCAAAACCATATATATATATATATATATATATATATATATATATATTGACCACTCAATCAATCTCTCTCTCTCTCTCTCTCTCTCTCTATATATATATATATATATATATATATATATATATATATATATATATATATAATAGGTAGGTTAGTTAATAAAACAAGGACAAACGAAAGGATACCAATATAATCAGTACGATAAACATTCATTAAATATTAATTATTAAGCATATGACAGAAATAATGCACGAAGAGAAAGGTTTCAAGTTCGGAATTTTCGGACACACCTGTGTCCTTTATCAACGGACCGCGGAATAAACAGAGAAATGGGATTTACTTACCAACAGATGTTTTTGTTGATGGAATATTTTCCAGTGGAAATCGTATTGTTAGTAAATACACGATCTCTGCCTGACACATACACACATATATATTTGATATACCTATGACGGTTTATATCGGGATTAGGACATTTATAGTACACTGTGAAACTGCTTGTGTCTATGTAGTGATGATTTATATATATATATATATATATATATTAATTAGCTTTTGCAAACAGATGTGTATCTCAAATGAGAAGCATATATCTTTTTGCAATTCTAAGATTCGATTTCAGGACGTTACAAACATCGTCGGTCACTTCGGCGTGATGTAATGGTTAACAAACTCGTCTCGATAGATCAATTATGATAGAATAGTGAGTTCGATCCTCACTTGGTGCCTCATACTTTCGACCTTGTGCTACATCTAAGCTACGCTGACAAAGTCACCATTACAAACCCCGTGGTTTCCGGGAGCACACTGACACGTGCTAAAGAATTTAATGCATTCGCCGTCTTCGGTTTTCCAGAAATAGCCACAAGAGTCCGGGATTTATTGCAAAGTTGGATGGCTGTTTAAGTCACTGTTATGGTCCAAGTTCCTTGTACCACGGTGATGGTCCAAGGTTAGAACCAATGAAAGAATAACACGAACACAGGTATGGAATACAAAGATATATTACAACAGAAATATAATACAAAGAAGTAGAAGTATTAGTAATGACTATCAGATTTGGTTAGAGTGAACTATGTATCACTATTCCAATGTCCTTACAATATGCTCTCAATTATCTCTCCTCATCTTACAACATCCTCATACCTCTTGAGAGGCGCAGTATTTATAATGTCAGGAATAGTCCATTATTATTATGGGTAAGTTCCTATAACAGTTACCCAGAGAAGAAATGAACGTTTTGACGCTTGTCAAAACATGACCGTTGTCGTTGTAATTATGGAATTTAATGGTTGCGTTTATTGGTGGGTTCACTTGCAAACAATTTAGAAGCAATAAAAATGTGTCTTTCTACTAAAGATCGTTTATTCTTTCTTTTATAAATTGTTATAATGGAACACACCTAAGCTATAGATAATAGACTCTCCCACCTATAATAAGTAGGAGTAGTAAGAGTAACAAGTCAGTCGCTCAGTGAGTCGGTCAGTCAGTCGATATCGGACGACAGTTAGTCGAATACTAAAGTATCAGCGCCCACAACTAGATTACTCTGCGTTATACCTATTATATCAAGTTCTTAACGTTTTGTACGTCGAACCTATTTTAGGACCGACTTAGTACAAATAAAAGCCTCCACTGTGAAATCACTCCACGACATAAATAGAAACTGTAGGGAAATGAAATTCTTACTGTCTCTTGAGTATGTTCGTTTCCAGAAGTAAGTTAGGGTAAGTAAGAATGAATAGAAATAAGAATGATCGAGCTCAAGTCTGCTTTGCGTTGAGTTGGAAAGACCAAATTACTTACTTCATGAGGGGAGATGCAAAGCACTTCCAAACTATTTGCGTTGAAAAAATGGAAATAGAGTTTCTTTCTCTGGCCCAGAAGTAATTTCAACGAGTGACGATAAGCATGGTTATAATGGCCTTGCGCTGAGTTGGAACGACCAAAGAAAAAGTTGATTTACTTTATAGGTAGAGTTTTTGGATGACACGTCCGAACGCTACGCGTTGAAAAGTGAAAGAGAGAGAGAGAGAGAGAGAGAGAGAGAGTGTTCGGTCAGCAGTGGACCAGGGAAACGAACATGCCCCAGAGATACGTCCTTTTTTCCACGTCTGTTACATCTGGGTGAATGGTGGAGAAAGTCGAAGAGGAAGGAAAATATTTCTTTTTTTTTTATAAACTTAAATAGCTCCGCCTAACGGGCGTTTAACGAAGCCAAGTCAGGTAATCTAATTTCCTGTTCTTTTATCACCAGCAACATGTATTTCTTTTTTTTTTTCTTTATTATCTTCCATTCTTATTGTCATTTCATTTCCCAAAATCTTCGCATGCAATTCGCTACAATTTGACCCAGCACATTCGTGAAGAAAAGATAATACGGGAGAGGGGCGTTCCCGCTTTAAACCACAAACACCCAGAGTGACTTTAGTTTCTAAATATGTTTTCATCTGAAAAGGAAAGTACGTAACTTCTTATTTATCAATGTGAACGAATAAAAAAAATGAATAAAAATACAGTTGGCTGTGTAATGAAATGGGGTTGCATTGTGTAGACAAGACGACCGACATTCTCTTGACTAAAATGTTGAGCAGAGAAACGTCCACTCGCTATGTATAGGAATGTCTGCTCATAAGAAGAGAGTCGCAAAGTGAGTCGTACGCATTGCCACACTGACTACGGTATTCGCTATGATTGTATTATTAATCCGTGTAATCTCGTCTACAGTCACTTTCTCACAGACGCGCCGTCGCCTCTCTCTGTCTATTCTACAAATACTTTCATGGAAATTGCTCCGATGAGCTGCATTCGCTGGTTCCCAGACGTCATGAGTTCCATCGCCTTACGAGGCTGGCATCCCGCTCTCATCCTTCACTGTCGAAACTCCTAAATGTAGCCGTCTCTTCTACTTCAATAGATTCATGTCTCGCACCTCTCGCCTGTGGAACTCCCTTCCCTATTCCATTTTCCCGAGAGCTATAATCTCCAGCTATTCAAATGTAATGTCAATCGACATCTCCAGTTGCCTTGATCTATCCACTACCCTTCGCCTCATCCTTTCTTTTATCACTCCTATCTGATCTTGCTCCAAATTTTCTGTAACCCCTTGCGTCCTAGTGGCTTCTCGCCTTGCTTGAGGGGAAATGCTTAAAAAAAAAAAAATTATACAGTCTTTTCACTTATCTTTTGTTCCAGTGTATTTCTTGGAATATTATTAACAGGACTACACGCTTATACGAGCATTCTACTAACAGAATGCCGCTTAAATAAGAGTAAGACTTCCAGCTCCCTTACTTAACATTTTTCACTCTAATATTTCGTCAGTTACTCTCAGCCAGTCTGTGGTATGTGGCCCGTAATGTCGCTCACACTCGGAATCTACATCCTCAATTTGTGAGGACACGTACTTCTGCATTCGGCGGCTGGGGCGGATTTCAGACCAAACCCTTTCGTACCCCCGGCTTTCTTGATGTCTGTTGCGAATTTTTCTGCAATGTTTGCTCCAGTGTCATTCTACAACAAATAAATTTCAAAATTTCGAAATTATTCACGTAAAAGAATTATTAAAAAATAAATACTGAGTTTTAAACAAAATAGTTTTTGTGGATGATTATTTTATCATTTCCCCTGTTTTCTGTTTCAGATTGTATAGAAGTTGTTGACAGTAGATATATTCTGAATTTCCCCACCCTCTTAACATTAATTACGAACACTACCGCAATGTACCGGACGTATTTAGCAAACTGCCACTGGGTGGCATGCGACTAGCGTTTACCGCTGGTGGCCCGCCGGCGTAAAGGAAGTGATCAGTAAAGAAATTAAATTGGATACGAGATAAAGGCGACGATATATATATATATATAATATGTGTGTGTACCTGTGTATATATATATATATATATATATATATATATATATATCTATATATATATATATATATATATATATATATATATATATATATATATATATATATATATTATGTTATTATTAGTGTTTATCAATATGTCAAGGAAGGGAATTTTATTAGTAGTATTGAGTTCATACGTGAATTTAAGGACAGAATTATTTTTCAAACGTTTTGGAAATTGACGTAACCGGGGGAGAAGAATCATTGCGAATAAGTGAGTTGGATATACTAGATTTAGTGTAGTATATGATTGAGTTGGATATACTAGATTTAGTGTAGTATATAATTAACTTAATTTTTTTGCTAGGATCTGTTGTAGATATATTAGTATATCGTAATCAAATGCATTCTAATTATAAACAAGATGAAAATATACTAAAAAAATTAGTAAATATTTATTTTCTAACATTTTCTCAACAAGCGTCGTCGATCGTACGTAAGTACGCGACAAAGTACGTAAGATTACTGAGTAGTGAAATACACACACACACACACTCACACACACATATATATATATAGTGTTTTCATGTCCAGTGTATGTGTTGTTTCTGCTGTTAGGCACGTGCGTGCTTGTGGATGTGTGAGCGTGAGTGATGTGAGGGATTTGGGTAGGGAATGGTGAAACGAATTAGTGTGGAGCAAAGAGGCGGGAACAATTTGGTAGGGGAGGCGGGAAATGCAGCAGAGACCTCTGCACAATAAGGCCGACAAAAATTCTTCCGAGAAATGAGCAACTATTTCCGGTTAGGAGATTCATTTCACTTTGGTGTCACATGCTGAAGTGAATGGCGCACACAGAAAGGCAATTATGCACACACAAACAATCACACACACACACACAACACATACACGCTCATATATATGGATTGGGATCAAATAGAGATCAAATATGGATCTAAATCCGACAATATGTTAAGATAATGAACAAATAGGAAACGTTTATCAGTCTAACATACTTAACTTTTTTATTTGTCTGATGAAGCTTTGAGACATGTTAAAGTGATAAACGTTTCCTATTTGTTCTTTATCTTATATATATATATATATATATATATATATATATATATATATATATATATATATATATATACATATATATATATATATATATATATATATATATATATATATATATATATATATATATATTATAAATTAAGTGATTAAAAATATGGTTTTTTGAAACATGGTAAAAAATAAATTTTAAATGGTATATTATATAATTAAATTGGAAGTTTTTAGCTTCGGTTTTTGAAACATGGTAATTCCTGTGTAGCGAAGAAACCATATTGAAGAAACCATATTGAAGAAACCATCAAGAATTTGTATTTTCTTTTTGTGATGTAAATTACAGAATATTGGTATGGTGTGTGTAAAAATGTTTTCAGAGTCTCTTTTATTTAAAAGTCAGTACTTGGTTTGGTTCCGAGAATTTCGTTTGTGAGGATGCGTTTGAAATCGTCTGTTTTCGATTTTCCCGAAGCGCTGACAGACGTGTGTTTCTGTACTGCGACTTGTCTACTAGTCTACTACTACGACTACCATAATCTACTCTACTGACTGTCTTGTGATGGAAGTGTCATTTTTTTAATGATGAGAGTAGGATGATGAAATATCATTTTTTCCTATCATCACTGATGACAAGGTTATTTTTAGAATGATGAAATATCATCATCGTTCTGGACCATAACAGAAGTTCCCCCTTCAGAACGGAATGTCTTAATCATAAAAATAATCATCTTTCTGCATGAAACGGTTCTTGCCTGAAGTTGTGGCTCTGATTGCTGACTTTGCTTTTGGCGTTATTTCTTGTAAATTATTTCACATTTTATATTTATACTGTATTTCTTTGTTAGGGTTGGGTTTTTTTTTGGGGGTGCATAGTTGGCAGGCCTGTTCTATGAAACGGGTAAACTAAGTGGGCTTGTATGCTGTCAGAATGGAATTTTTCGAGTCAAATTTACTTACTTGCTTGTTGATGTGGCTGGGTTTTTGGCTTTGGAACTGTTGTTGGCGGAACAGTTTTTATTTTTTTTTTTGGGGGTGCTTTTTTTACATAAATAGCAAGAATTTGTATTTTCTTTTTGCGATGTGAATTACAAAATATTGGCATGGTGTGTGTAAAAATATTCTCAGTGTCTTTTTTGTTTAAAAGTCAGTAATTACTTGGTTTGGTTCCGAGAATTTCATTCGTGATGATGCGTTTGAAATCGTCTGTTCTCGATTTTCCCGGAGCGCTGGCAGACGTGTGTTTCTGTACTGCTACTTGTCTACTGGTCTGCTACTACGGGTACCATGTCTACTCTACTCTACTCTAATCTGCCGACTCTCTTGTGGTGGAAGGGTTGTTTTTATAATGATGAAGGTTAGGATGATAAAATGTCCTTCTTTTCTATCATCACTGATGACAAGGTTATCTTTAGAATTATGTTATTTGGATATATTAGTATATCGTAATCAAATGCATATTAATTATAGACAAGATTAAAATATACTAAAAAAATTAGTAAATACTAATATATCTACAACAGATCCTAGCAAAAAAATTAAGTTAATCATATACTACACTAAATCTAGTATATCCAACTCAATCATATACTACACTAAATCTAGTATATCCAACTCAATTATTCGCAATGATTCTTCTCCCCCGGTTACTTCAACTTCAAAAACATTTCCAAAATAATTCTGTCCTTAAATTCACGTATGAACTCAATACTACTAATAAAATTCTCTTCCTTGACATATTGATAAACACAAATAATAACATATATATATATAGTTTTTGTGGATGATTATTTTATCATTCCCCTTGTTAGTGCTGTTTCAGATCGTATAGAAGTTGTTGACAGTAGATATATTCTGAATTTCCGCACCCTCTTAACATTAATTACGAACACTACCACAATGTGCCGGACGTATTTAGCAAACTGCCACTGGGTGGCATGCGACTAGCGTTTACTGCTGGTGGCCCGCCGGCGTAAAGGAAGTGATCAGTAAAGAAATTAAATTGGATACGAGATAAAGGCGATATATATATATATATATATATATATATATATATATATATATATATATATATACTAGCAGTAGAGCCCGGCGTTGCCCGGGGATGTAACAGTAAGAGATAGATCAAGTATTGACCATCATAAAGACTGAACAGTAAAACTGACAAAGATTATTGTTTAAGGTTGACGGACACGCATGTCTTAATTAGGTTTTTTTTTTTTTTTTTTTACGAATTGGTCAAACCCAAACTCAAACAAAAACATTGTTTTCAATCATTATGAGTCTATCGATTGAATAGAATTTTATTATAAACAATTGTCTTGTAAATGGAATTTTTAAAGCATTCTGAATGTAAAAAAGTAATAAATGTAATAAAGAAAAAAGTGTGCAAGACAATAAGAAACACTACCTGCCAAAAAAAAAAAGTGAAGTTTTGTTGAAATCGGTTGAAAAATGCAGGAAATCCGATCCCATATATAAACGAAAACACACACACAAACAACCTGGGTTTTAAGTATAACTCGATATGAGTTGTCCCCCTTTCATTCTTGTGATGCCTCTTAATCGTGTTTTCAAATTAATTGCGTGCAAAAACAATTGTGTTTTTCCAATTTTTGGCGTTGTCAGAACCACCGCAAGGTAATTTTACGTAGTCCTGTGAAGTTTTGTTGAAATCGGTTGAAAAATGTAGGAAATCCGATCCAATATATAAACGTACAGACACACACACACACACACAATCTGCGCTTTATAATAAGTAAGATATATATATATATATATATATATATATATATATATATATATATATATATATATATATATATAATAACGTTATTTGGAGAAAACATTCACTAATTAATGTTTTAATCTTAATAAATTACTTTTATTCAGTTATAAAAAAACAGTTATGTTTTTCTGGTGCTGAGTTCTTTCGGACCAGAGTTGTCTCACCCTGACTTGTCCCGGTGATCAGTCGGCGGCGTTGAGTCGTCTGTGTTGTGTTGGGGGTGTTGTTCTGCACTCTCAAAACTTATCTATCGACAGTCATTTTCAAAAGTGCAGGTCTCTTACTTATTGGTTTAAACATCGGCGTGGGAAATGACAATTTTGGCTACTTAAATAAGCTGTGAAAATATGTTAACTAGTTTCATGTCCATGTCTTTATCACCTGTCTTCTTAATATATCTTTTTCCCTGAGGGGAATAGATTATTATTCCTTATAAAAAAATATAGTTTTAAGGTTTGCTATATTTATGGGATAACGTGCTCAATATCAGAGATAGAGCGTGTGTAAATATAAATATAAAAGTGAACATTGAAGTCAACACTCAGAGGTGACAGGCTGTTTCATGCTAGACGCAATCTGCAGCCTGACGATTGCGTCTAGCATGAAACAGCCTGGCGCCTCTGAGTGCTGACTTCAGTGTTCACTTTTATATTTATATATTACACCCTATAAATATAGCAAACCTTAAAACTATATTATATATATATATATATATATATATATATATATATATATATATATATATATATATATATATACATATATATATATATATACATATATATATATATATTTTGTTTTTCTCCAGAAGTAATGATTTTTTATTTATTCATCGAGAATTTTTATCACTTTAAATGTGATTTTTTGTAGATACTCATTTTTGTGTGCTTATTTCTTTTCCTTTACCGAAAATATTCGAGAAATCTTATGAAAGAAAAATATGCGCTCTCCGGAAGAATTCGAACCCGATTCCCCCAGGGTAGAGGAAAACCGTCGTTAGGTACGACGTGTCTTAACCGACTAATCCATAAAGAAGCTTTGCCGATCAGGCAAGGTCTGAACAATGCGTTTAGATGAAAATAAATTATTATACTTTTTATATACTGTTTATTAAATAAGCAGAGCGCCTACACAAATATGACTACCGCTAAAAATAAAGTGATATATATATATATATATATATATATATATATATATATATATATATATATGGTGTCTGGTTATAAAGCGTTTGGTATCTACTTGAATGTGCCGACTAGAAGAGAATTAGAAAAAATGCACAATGTCAGCCAACTTCCTGGGAAAGAAGGAACTATTATTAAAAGGTGTGTTCGAAATCCTTCGTCTGATATGTCTGAGCTGACACACACACACACACACACACACACACACACACACATATATATATATATATATATATATATATAGAGAGAGAGAGGGGGGTTGATAGACGGAGATAAACAAAGGCTGAAAGAGATAGAGACTGAATAGATAGATAGATAGATAGATAGATAGATAGATAGATAGATAGATATGAACAAAGACTAGATAGATAGATAGATAGATAGATAGATAGATAGATAGATATGAACAAAGACTGAATATATAGATAGATAGATAGATAGATAGATAGATAGATAGATAGATATGAACAAAGACTGAATAGATAGATAGATAGATAGATAGATATGAACAAAGACTGAAATAGATAGATATGAACAAAGACTAAGATAGATAGATAGATAGATAGATAGATATGAACAAAGACTGAATAGATAGATAGATAGATAGATAGATAGATAGATATGAACAAAGACTGAAATAGATAGATATGAACAAAGACTAAGATAGATAGATAGATAGATAGATAGATAGATAGATAGATAGATATGAACAAAGACTGAATAGATAGATAGATAGATAGATAGATAGATAGATAGATGATATGAACAAAGACTGAATAGATAGATAGATAGATATTAAAGGACTGAAATTATATATTGCTATATCTATCTATATTTATTAATCGGATTGAGAAATAGGGATATATATCAATCGATTGCGATATATATGAAATGACATATATCGATAGATAGACATATAGATAGATATGAAGAAAAACTGAAAGAGATAGATAGATAGATAGATAGATAGATAGATAGATAGATAGATAGATATGAACAGACTGAGACAGATATAAAGAGACTGATGTATCTAGATAGATAGATAGCAAATAAAGAATGAAACTTGAATGACGGATAGAGAGAGAAGGGAGGGAGATAGGAGGGAAAGAGAGGAAGAGAACGAGAGTGCTGACTTTAATAAAAACAGATTGAGAGGGATAAGATTGAGAAGATGAAATATACCCCGTGAAAGATAGTGAGTAAAAACAAAACCGACTGTGAAAAAACGTCGAAACAATAGAAATAAATAAAAATATCTAAAAATGAGAACGAATTTTCAAGAAAGACTCAGTGAGACTATGCAATCGTGAGAAAGAGTAACGAAAAAACAAAAAAAAAACAAAAAAACTAAAGGGCCGGCGGAAGCCGAGAAATGGGGAGGGATATAAACGACGAAGTTTTATGGCGCACTGGATTGTGTCAGCAAGCGGCTATGTGAACGAAAAAGGGATTTGAGTATGTGAAGGTGAATGAGTCATGCAAAATGCAGATGGCTGAATTAGAAGGAAACGAAAGAGAGCGGAAGTTAACAAATGGCGTTAAATACAATATGGCCGTGGAAGAGAAATAAGATGATTTTTAGGCGGGAAATTGAAACGCAAATATGACTGCACATGCGCACTCCCGGATAAGTATCTCTATGAGTGTATTGTGAAGAGATTAATTACACTAAACATGTGGGATTTTACAAATACAAAAATGTATAATGCTGAAAATGGATAGTGCCTGAAACCAATTTGGCACTACAGAGTGGGAGACTGTCTACAGACGGGATGCATTAGCGAAAATACTTTTTTTTTCTGGGTACCACAGGTATTTGTTTGATTTTCTGTGTTGGTAACAAATGATTGGTTCTTTCCAATAAAATAGTCAAGATTTCGACATTAAATGATCCGACAACAATTAATATTTGATTTCTTTATATTTTTTTTACGGTGTATCAACCTTTTCCATGTTATCTAATGGCGTATTCTCTTGTCTGAATAAACAATAGATAGGTAGACGTAGATTTGGTTTCTAAAAGAATCAAAAATACAACCGGTTTGCACAAGACTCAAAAAAAAATAAAAGAAAAGAAAAAAAAAGTAAGCATAGGTTCAGTTTGCACGAATATCACGAAAGGTAGATCAGGTCAGTGAATCAAAAAGGTCAGTGAATCAAAAAGGTCAGTGAATCAAAAAAAAGATAGATATAGATGCGGTTTGCACGATAGTCAAAAAAGGCAGATAGAGGTATGTCGTCAATGATGGACACATACGCCCGCAACAAAATGTCGTTCCAAAAGGACGATTTTTCCCATGATACTGTCTTTTTTAACTACCTTTAATGTTTTTTTAAGTACTTTTACGTTTCACAAGAGTAGAACAGGGACGTTAAGATAGTCAGTATACGCACTTATTTTAGATAGATAGATAGATAGATAGATAGATAGATAGATAGATAGATAGATAGATAGATAGATTTGAACAGATTGAGACATGTTTGAGCAGACTGAGATAGATAGATAGATAGATAGATAGATAGATAGATAGATAGATAGATAGATAGATGTTATTAGACAGATTGAGATAGGTTTGAACAGATTGAGATAGGTTTGCGCAGACTTAGATAGATAGATAGATAGATAGATAGATAGATAGATAGATAGATATGATTGGACAGATTGAGATAGATAGGTTTGAACAGATTTAGATAGATAGATTTGAACAGATCGGGATTGAGAGTTGTTTTGTACAGAGCTTGGCCTGTTTTATAAAATATGTTCACCTTGTTCGTGGGTTTTCACATAACTGGTGACACCGGAATGTTTTCTACAAGTTTTCAGACTCAACCTACATGCTAAGGAATAATGATCATAAATTGCGAAAGGTCTTCCAATATGACTCTTCTTGGAGCTAACACGGCCTGCATTGGAGAGACACGCTCTGTGACATTCATCTCGTGTAAACTGATGGATTGCTGGATCAATAATTTCCCCTTTCCTAGTTGCACGCTTGACATCTGCCCAACTCATTGCATGTTCTTGGAAGATACTAGGGATCTCATGAATTGTACACCTCCACTTATATCGATCACAAGCGGCCGTTTTCACACACACAATCCTCTATATAGCAGGCTGCAAGAGACTTGTAAAGAGTCTTCCACAATAAAGAAAACGTCCTTGATATAAATTCAAGCAATAAAAATGACATGGGAGAAAATAATACAGAAAACAGATTAGTAAGCAATAAAAAGAAATACATTATAATGAACAATAAAAGAAAGAAAAAAAGACAGAAAGAACTCTAAAAGAAAAAAACAAACAAAAGAAAGCAGAACATTAAAAAAAATAAAGTTTTTTTTTAAATCATGGTGATTAAATCAGGTTCGTTGATTGCATTCATTTGACATTTAATAGTTGGCATGTCTCCCTTTCGTCCCTATCAGCAAATTCTGATTATAAGTTTACAGTAGTGTTTAAAAGGCTCGTGAGCCACTCTAGGCAGACGGTTACAGAGTAACATGCACAGTTTATGCAGATATGTGGGGAAAATAATGGTTAATGTTAGACTTGGACAGGCCAAGATTGTGGTGATCGAGAAAACAACCTCTTGGGAGTCGGTTCTACAGATCAGCAGTTTGCAGTATCTATCTATCTATCTGTCCATCTATATATATATATATATATATATATATATATATATATATATATATATATATATATATATATATATATAAATATCATGAATTATTCACACAAAAACAAATGCAAAGGTTAATGATTTAATTGGCGAGAAATCCATCGTCGCAAAACAATTCAAATAATATACAAAAACCTCCGAATCCGTTATGAATGAAAAGATCCTTGTTTCTATAAATTTCTGCCGTATTAGTTCTTATTTTTACTACTTGTAGTAAAAATAAGAACTAATACGGCATTGAATTGTTTGCGACGATGGATTTCTCGCCAATTAAATCATTAACCTTTGCATTTGTTTTTGTGTGAATAATTCATGAATTTGTAAATTGATTGCACGTTTATCGAAATAAAATATATATATATATATATATATATATATATATATATATATATATAGATAGAGAGAGAGAGAGAGATATCGATCTATCTATTCCAGTCTGCATCTATCTATCTATCTATCTATCTATCTATCTATCTATCTATCTATCTATCTATCTATTTTAGGGTCCCTTTGTGAATGTGGTATTGTGGTATATGTAGGCGTAAAAAGTGAAGTGTGAATTCTTTCGGTGAATGGGTTATTTGTATTGAATGAATGGGTCGAGAATCGGATTAGCTAGGTATAGGATAGGTAAAAATGACCAACCTCAACCCCACTCCCCACTTTTAGGCCATGTGCCACAATTATTGTATTTTACAATAATAAATAGAATCTATCTATCTATCTATCTATCTATCTATCTATCTCCGTCTCTTCCTTCTTATCTTTTTCTTTTTGCAGTTAGGTAACCCTGTACTAGGCCCGAGAGCCACTCGGGGTATAGTGTTACAGAGTAAGACAGTTTATGTGGATATGTAGGGAAGATAAGGGTTAATGTCAGACTTGAACAGGCCAAGATTGAAGTGATCGGGAAAACACCCCCTTGGGAGTCGTTTCCACAGAGCTTCGATTCGCGGGAAGAAGCTGCTCGAGTGGAACTTACATTTAACAAATGAAATGCGAAGGGAATGAGGGTGGTTCGCTACAATGGGCGTGGCATGGCGGGTCTTAGCCGTGAAGGTTAAAACTGGTGGAACTAAGGGGTGTAGTTCGTCTGAGCACTTTCCATGGAAATAGCGATAGAGCAGTGATAGGTCTGTGACGTTTCGCCTGTGAGAAAGGAGTGGGAAGCAATTCATCACTCGCAAGGACGCGGAGAAGCTTTTGGACTACCGACACTGGAAAGGGAAGACGGGCATCTCCTGCCCATATATGGCAGCAGTACTCCATTTTCAGCCTGACCTGTCATTTGTAAAGGCAGAGGATAGCAGGAGGAGTCAGGTACTTACTGGCGTGGTACAGGGAACCGACTATTTTTCCAGCCTCTTCAGCGATGGATCATATTTACGAGCTCCACTTGAGGCCTGGGTTGAGTTTAAGGCCCAACAGTCGCCCATGACACGGGGCCTTCCTGAGGGAATACCCATTTATCGTGATCGGCGGCAGCTCAGGGTCCGATCGGCGATGATGGAATGTAGCTAGTTCGGCTTTCGAGCCTTTAAATGCAACCAGTCAGTTCCCCGCCCTGAGACGTTAATGTTCGGTTAGAAGAGAGATCAGATGCCAATTTGTGGTCATCTAGCGTTGATAGTTTTATGGACGTATAATAAATGCCCACGCAGCGTCAACCATTCTTGTGACAATCGCTAAACAATTGATAAAGTTAACTGTTGGCCCTATCTTATGGACAGGAATAACTGTCATGCTGAAGACCGTATCTTCTATATAATAAATGCGAATGTTAGTGTGTCACCGTGTCACACTTTATCAATTAAAGGGACACAACTCACTAACTTTCAATAGCTCATGTTACAGAAATTTTGGATTCCCAAGTTTTCATTACTGCGATTGTTTTTCGGTAATTTTTGTACGTGACTTTTTGCGACGAATTTTTTTGTACGATTACAATTTTTATAACTTGGAAATAAATTTGGCAATAATTGAAATTAATTGCGAAATTCAGCGAAAGTCACCCATGAAATAAAAATAATTGTTTGTAGGGAAAGTAAGGACCTTCGCACATCAAATTGTCTTTAAATTAAGTGGCGGCAGAAGAATTATCGTTGAAATTTTTAAAAGGTAAGCTTAAATATTAATGCCATACTTAAATGCAGCGATCAATTTTGAGGTCTTCTGTAGTTTATTGTTGCCTATCGCATACGGCAGCAGTATGCCTCGGAAAAAGAAATCTTCGCCAACAGAGGACCAGATTGCAATCAAAAGAGCCAAGTTTGCAGCGAAGAAAAGAAAGACCCGTGCAAATGAAAGCACGGATCAAACGGCAGCCAGGAGAGCTTCCAATGCTGAGAATATACAATGACTTTGGACTCTCAAACTCCTGAAGAAGCCTACGATTCATTTAAGTCCCCTCTTAGGAATCTAGATTAAATTTTAAAGCTTTTAAAATTATATATAAAAGTTATTACTGCAGCATCTAATTATTTTGATTTTAAGCCCAGGATAAAATTATACTTTAACGCACATGTTAATCTCTTATTCTTCAAAGAATATATTCGCCCATGACAAGCATCCTCATCTTCATATGTAATATTGAATTGTGCCGTGTCTTTTCAGGACGTGGGCGATCATGGCTTTCCACAATTTCCTATCTTTAGTAGCTACTAGCAGTAGCGCCCGGCGTTGCTCGGGGATGTAACAGTAAGAGATAGATCAAGTATCGACCATCATAAAGACTGAAAAATAAAATTGACAAAGATTATTGTTTAAGGTTGACGGACACGCATGTCTTAATTAGTTTTTTTTTTTTACGAATTGGTCAAACCCAAACTCAAACAAAAACATTGTTTTCAATCGTTATGAGTCTACCGATTGAATATAATTTTATTATAAACAATTGTCTTGTAAATGGAATTTTTAAAGCATTCTGAATGTAAAAATAAAGAAAAAAAAGTGTGCAAGAAAATAAGAAACACTACCTGCCAAAAGAAAAGGTGAAGTTTTGTTGAAATCGGTTGAAAAATGTAGGAAATCCGATCCCATATATAAACGAACACACACACACACACACACACACACACACACACACACACACACACACACACACACACACACACACAAACAACCTGGGTTTTATAATAAGTATAACTCGATATGAGTTATCCCCCTTTCATTCTGGTGACAGAATCGTGTTTTCAAATTGATTTCGTACAAAAACAATTGTGTTTTTCCAATTTTTGGCGCTGTCAGAACCACCGCAAGGTAATTTTACGTAGTCCTGTCAAGTTTTGTTGAAATCGGTTGAAAAATGTAGGAAATCCGATCCAATATATAAACGTACAGACACACACACACACACACACACACACACACACACACACACACACACACAATCTGCGTTTTATAATAAGTAAGATTAGTAATGTGTGTTTTTTCTCCGCCGCTTAGAGCCCCTGTTCTGCTATCCATTTAACACAAGTTTGTTAGATAGGTTATTCACTCTTTCTCTCTGGCTCTCTTGCCTTCAGCATGCCATGTGAGTGTCAAATTCTCCAAGACCCCTTTCTTCATTATGCGTCAAAGAAATTTCTACTGTCTCTTTCTGGTTCTAAGAATAAGCGTCCTTTTTGTTTGCGTTCCACTTAAAAAAAACTTCCTCATTACTCACATGTTCGGTTCATGGTATTCTCAGAATCCTTCTATGAAACCACATTTCTGTTGCTTCAAGTCTCTTCTTCATCTGTGTGGTGATCGTCCGGTATTCACTGCCATATAGTAGATATAATATTTCTAGCGTTTAGCACTATACTCTAATGGAAATCCACATAAATTAAACGTCTCATTTTTATACAAATATATAGACTTTGACTTAAATTGTAATTTATAATTCCAACCTACGGCCGTCCTGGATATGACGATAAACTACGTCCAGCAGTTGATCAAGGTCTCTTGAGGAGCGTGAAACCACTTCTTAATTGCTGGTGTTCCCAGGTTCACCCTATCACGGAGTGGTAGCCCCTGTCAGGGTCCCAAATATGGGCAAATAATTAACCCCCAAACTGGGGTCAAATCACTATGAAAGTGTAAAAATAGGTTTTAATACCAGAAATAATTTGTAAAAAAAAAAAAAAAAAAAAAAGTTACCAGCAACACATTTAAAAAAACAAAAACATTACCAGCTATATATTTCTTGAAAAGAAAATTACCGGCAAAGAAAAATTATTACCAGGAATA